AATTTTTATTGAAAAAATTATATGAATTTGCATACAGAATCATAATACCAATTTCATAAATTATAAAAATTATTATAACAAATTAGCATACCATATTTGCTATATTAAAAGTGCATCTGTAATAGAGACACACATGCATGTAAACCGTAAACCAAAAATGCATGTATTACTTATTTGAGCAATCCTCGGGGGCGGAGCTACGTCACAAGACGTTCCACGTTGCTACAACGCGCACCAATGTACATGCATTTCTATGTGGAACGTTGGTCGAGCCGATGAAAATTCGAGAAAACAACACAAACTCAACTTTGAAGTAATCCCAAACAACCAAATTTATATATGTTACACACGTAGGGCTAATCTTGTTACAATGTTCAGAGGAGTCTCAATCATCCCAAAATACCGTTTTCTGCGAGTTTTGGGCCTTTGTTTTCACCGCCGCGGGTTGCCAGGCGGTGAAAATGCCCGGATGTCCGCCCCCGAGGATATGACATTATACCTCTTCACCCCCAGTTATCTCTTTTCATCACAAATTCACAAAATAGTCTGCACTTTCCTTCAGAAGATAGGGACAAAAATAGACAAATTTTTTGGATAAAAACTGAAAATTTAATTTTGTCTGTTGGCTCTAAAATTAGGGTTCAAGAGGAGAAAAATTTGGGGGAGAAAATCTGGTGGTTAAAAGATTTAATAAATGACCCTCAGTGCCATTATGGATGGGGACTAGATTCTATGCATGATAGCTGCATATTAAAATATACCATCAGCGTGAGTTTTAATTTGGTTTGTTTTATGGCAAAACCTGACGAGTGTGCTGGATGGTACATAGCGCAGAACACCGTGGCCCTGGACATGAACAAATGTACGCTCATGCAATGCTTGAATACAAACACGACACACTGCATCAATCATAAATAAATATTTACAGTTAAAATATTCTTCATGAAAAGTGCTTTTTTGAGTTCATTCATATTAATATTTTTATGTCACAAACCCACGAGAATAGTTACATGGTTATTCAGCACTGAAATTTAACAATAAAATGTTATACAGATTCGGGGCCAATGGAACACAATAAATATTCTATCATCTGATGATGTATAGCAATGATGTAACAATATGTCTAAATATGGACAATGGTATTGTAAAAGGGTTAATTATTCACTGGGATTTAATTTTGCTTATTTCGCTGACTGGAAAATGCGCTAAATTTAACCCAGTGAATATGTAAAATTTAATATAGAACACATTATCTGAATGATAAAACCGTGAATTTAAAACCCACTGAATATGCCTGAAATGCATAAATCAGTGAAATTTAAACCCAGTGAAAATTAGTCATTTTACAGTATAATACAATGTATAAGTTAGAGGTGATATCAATAATCATCTAATATAACAAATACAGCTTTAATTTGTATATGAACTTATTTTGCATACAAAATATATCATAGACATGTATGAGAAACTTATAGGATGTATGGAAACAAGCAGCCTGTCGGCTGAGATAGCTCTGCTGTTAGCAATGCACATTTCAATTAAAGAACAGAAGATATCATTAGAAAATGAACAATATGTATAGTATCAAAGCAATCAGACTTGCGGTTTTTAACAAGAAGTCGAAAATATCACTTTTTACCAAAAATGACAAAAATATTCACCAAAATTAAAGAATCGAAGATATCATCACGAAATGAACAAATCTGAGAAAGGTCTACATGTAGTATCTAAATATGTAATATCAAAGCAATTGAACTATTGGTTTGTAACAAGAAGTCGAAAATATCACTTTTTACCAAAAATTACAAAAATATTCACCAAAATTAGAGAATTGAAGACATCATCACAAAATGAACAAATCTGAGAGAGGTCCACATGTAGTACCTATATGTGTAATATCAAAGCAATCGGACTTGCGGTTTTTAACAAGAAGTCGAAAATATCACTTTTTACCAAAAATGATAAAAATATTCACCAAAATTAGAGAATTAAAGATATCATTACAAAATGAACAAATCTGAGAGAGGTCCACATGT